TTGAACAGAACTAAAACAGAACAGAACAGAACTAGAACAGAACTAGAACAGAACTAGAACAGAACTAGAACAGAACTAGAACAGAACTAGAACAGAACTAGAACAGACTAGAACTAGAACAGAACTAGAACAGAAGTAGAACAGAACTAGAACAGAACTAGAACAGAACTAGAACAGAACTAGAACAGAACTGGAACATAACTAGAACAGAACTAGAACAGAACTAGAACAGAACTAGAACGGAACTAGAACAGAACTAGAACAGAACTAGAACAGAACTAGAACAGAACTAGAACAGAACTAGAACAGAACTAGAACAGAACTAGAACAGAACTAGAACAGAACTAGAACATAAACTAGAACAGAACTACAACAGAACTACAACAGAACTACAAACAGAACTAGAACAGAACTAGAACAGAACTAGAACAGAACTAGAACAGAACTAGAACAGAACTAGAACGAACTAGAACAGAACTAGAACAGAACTAGAACAGAACTAGAACAGAACTAGAACAGAACTAGAACAGAACTAGAACAGAACTAGAACAGAACTAGAACAGAACTAGAACAGAACTAGACAGAACTAGAACAGAACTAGAACAGAACTAGAACAGAACTAGAACAGAACTAGAACAGAACTAGAACAGAATTAGAACAGAACTAGAACAGAACTAGAACAGAACTAGAACTAGAACAGAACTAGAACAGAACTAGAACAGAACTAGAACAGAACTAGAACAGAACTAGAACAGAACTAGAACAGAACTAGAACAGAACTAGAACAGAACTAGAACAGAACTAGAACAGAACTAGAACAGAACTAGAACAGAACTAGAACAGAACTAGAACAGAACTAGAACAGAACTAGAACAGAACTAGAACAGAACTAGAACAGAACTAGAACAAACTAGAACAGAACTAGAACAGAACTAGAACAGAACTAGAACAGAACTAGAACAGAACTAGAACAGAACTAGAACAGAACTAGAACAGAACTAGAACAGAACTAGAACAGAACTAGAACAGAACTAGAACAGAACTAGAACAGAACTAGAACAGAACTAGAACAAAACTAGAACAGAACTAGAATAGAACTAGAACTAGAACAGAACTAGAACCAGAACAGAACTAGAATAGAACTAAAACGAACTAGAACGAACTAGAACAGAACTAGAACAGAACTAGAACAGAACTAGAACTGAACTAGAACAGAACTAGAACAGAACAGAACTAGAACAGAACTAGAACAGAACTAGAACAGAACTAGAACAGAACTAGAACAGAACTAGAACAGAACTAGAACAGAACTAGAACAGAACTAGAACAGAACTAGAACAGAACTAGAACAGAACTAGAAGAACTAGAACAGAACTAGAACAGAACTAGAACAGAACTAGAACAGAACTAGAACAGAACTAGAACAGAACTAGAACAGAACTAAACAGAACTGGAACATAACTAGAACATAACTAGAACATAACTAGAACAGAACTAGAACAGAACTAGAACAGAACTAGAACAGAACTAGAACAGAACTAGAAACAGAACTAGAACAGAACTAGAACAGAACTAGAACAGAACTAGAACAGACTGAACTGAACTAGAACAGAACTAGAACAGAACTAGAACAGAACTAGAACAGAACTAGAACAGAACTAGAACAAACTAGAACAGAACTAGAACAGAACTAGAACAGAACTAGAACGAACTAGAACAGAACCAGAACAGAACTAGAACAGAACTAGAACAGAACTAGAACAGAACTAGAACAGAACTAGAACAGAACTAGAACAGAACTAGAACAGAACTAGAACAGAACTAGAACAGAACTAGAACAGAACTAGAACAGAACTAGAACTAGAACAGAACTAGAACAGAACTAGAACTAGAACAGAACTAGAACAGAACTAGAACAGAACTAGAACAGAACTAGAACAGAACTAGAACAGAACTAGAACAGAACTAGAACTGAACTAGAACAGAACTAGAATAGAACTAAAACAGAACTAGAACAGAATTAGCAGAGAAGTAGAGCAAAATTAGAACAGAATTATAACACTTTTTCGTTTAATTTAAAACTTTGTCCATTAAGTTTTAAATTTCTTTTTAAATTTTTTATTTTTTTTTTTGTGATTTTTCCCCCCAGATTTTTCTCTGATTTATTATTTATTTTATTTAATTCTTTATGATTTATTATTATTGCAAAAATACTATTGTATTTGTTGCCCAATTTGAACATTTATTATTTAAAATAAATAAATTTATTATTTATTTTGCTAAAAACAATTACAATTAAACAAATTTTTACAGTAGAAAATAAAACAATTGAATACATTCAAAACGAGAGCAACAAAAATAAAACATTGTTGTATGTTTTATAAAATAAATATTACAAAATGTGTTGCCTAGCTAAGGGGGGTAAGTTAAATAGAATAACCTGTAATATTAAATAACTAACAATTAAAATCTATTGCCTATGTTAGGGAGTAGAAATATAAAAATATTTAGAATTCTTGCATTTGGTAATAGAAACTTTAAAATTATTAACTAGTTTATGCTTTTTAATAAATGAAATATTAAATAAAAAGTAAAGTTTAAATATATTTAGTTATTGCTTCCTTCCTTCCTCTTTTTCAATTATTTATAGAAAATATGTCTATAACATTTAAAACCCATTATCTGTTTAATGTTTATTTTATCGCTGTATTCTTCCTCTCTAGAGATAAATAATTTTTAATTATATGCGATAATCTTAATTAGTTGTTAAAAACATGGCATTTATTTTTGTGGTTGTTTTTAAACAACAAGTATTTTTAGTGTTTTAAATAAATATTTAAAAATATATGTTAAATGAATGTTCACATTTATGGTTAAATAGGTTTATATATGGATTTTGCTGTTTGCTCGATTTCCCTAAAGAACATTTATATTTTTGTAGATTTTTTTCACAATTTAACACAAATCCCTAAAGTAGGCTTTAGATAGGCATCAGAGAAATGAAATCAAGATAAATGGTATGCAATGGTTTATTAATGTTTTTAAAAATTAATTTATTTAAAAGAAATGTGAATTAAAATTCACAAATCTTGCGAAAAATTGTAAAACATCGTTAAAAGTTTAAATACAAAGTTTCGTTAAGTTTTAAAACCTTCGTTAAATTAAAATTTTTTCTTAATTTAATAATAATTTGGGTCTACTATCTAAATATGCAGAAATAGCCTGAAAATTCCTTCTGGGGGCCTAAATAAAGTTTCGTTAAGTTTTTAAAATCTTCGTTAAGTTCAAAATTTGTCTTAAAGTTGCTTCCAATTCGTGTCTGTAGCTTGAATATGCAAAAATATTTTGAAAATTCCTTTTAGGGGCCGAAATAAAGTTTCGTTAAGTTTTTAAAACTTTCGTTAAGTTAAAAATTTGTCTTAAATTCAATTCTAATTTGGTTTTACTATCTAAAAATGCAAAAATATCTTAAAAATTCCTTTTAGGAGCCGAAATAAAGTTTCGTTAAGTTTTTTATACCTTCGTTAAGTTGAAAATTTTTCTTAAATTCTAATCTAATTTAAGTCTATTAACCAAATGTGTTAAGAAATCCTTAAAATTCCTGTTAAAGGCCGAAATAAAGATTCGTTAAGTTTTAGAAATCTTCGTTAAGTTGAAAATTTGTCTTAAATTCGAACTTAAGTTAAGACTTTTACCCAAATATGCTTATATATATTGAAATTTGCTTTCAGTAGTCGTAATAAAGTTTCGTTAAGTTTTTAAAACTTTCGTTAAGTTCAAAATTGGTCTTAAATAAGTTTTTGATTTTTGTCTATAGCTTGAATTTGAAAAAATATATTGAAAATTCTTTTTAGAGACTAAAATAAAGTTTCGTTAAGTTTTCAAAATCTTCGTTAAGTACGAAAATTTTCTAAAATGTTTCATAAAATCAAGTTTATTACAAAAATAAGCAAAAATATCTTAAAATTTCCTGTTAGGTGCTAAAATAAAGTTTCGTTAAGTTTTCTTAAACTTCGTTAAGTTCAAAATTAGTCCTAAATTTAAAAGCAAATCTGCTCTATAAAATGAATTTTAAGAAAAATCATAAAAATTTATTTTTTCTAACAAAATACACCTTCGTTAAGTTTTAAAAACTTTCGTTAAGTTTAAAATTTTTATAAAATTTTCCAGTTTAAACAGGTTAAGATTCAATGAACATGATATTGTTGCAAAATGTTTTAGCATTTAATGAAATTTAAACAAAAATTCAAAATTTTTATTAAAAATTTCTAAGTTTTTATAAAATATTGATGGTTTTTTAAAATTAATGTTAATTTATTAAAATTTCTTAAAATAAGATTTATTTTCTTTAAATAAAAATTATTTTTGTGATTTTTTTAATGATTCCTAAACCTAATAGAAGCTAACAGTTAATTAATTTATGAAAGCCTACAGCTATGCTATAGTTTTTTAAATATAAATTATGTTTTAGTTAGTCTACACCACTGTTATTGTATGGTAATGATTCGTTTAAAGCGACATGACACATGAATACTAAAATGATTAAATGTATAACAGACAACAACAAATACACACAAAATTACAACAAAAGAAACACAAGCAAAAAAATTATAATAATAATAAAAAAAACATAAAAAAACAAACTAATAAAAACTATAAAAAAATTATAAATTTTTAATAAAATTTTTAAACAAAACTCAACTAATGGTGTTTTAGTTTTTATCAAATTTAACTAGAAAACGTGCAGGGGTTTGTTTGATTTTTAAACATTTAAGGATTTCTTTTAATTTAAATAATTTTTATGAAATTTCTCAAAAAAACTTTGTTAAAATTTTGTGTGTTTTTTTTAGAGCCTAGTTTTAGGTTTTTAGTGGTTATATAATGTTTTAATTATCTTTCAAATCATCCAAAAGCAATCATTATAATTTTGGTTAGCGTTTCTAAACTAAAGGGAAGTTTTTTTCAGGAAATTCCTTAAAGAAAAACTTCCCTTTACTTACTTATCAGTTAATCTATGTCCTTTGGAATCATACAGTGGTTGATAAGATTTGTACCTACAGTAGAGTTTTTCATTATTAAAAAAAAACGAAACGAAAAAAAATATTTAAGAAAAATAAATTTAAATAAATTTGGAAAAAAAATTATAATAAATAATGTAATCAATTATAAGCATTAAAAAGCGTAAAATTAATAAAGCACACAGTTTTTTATATAAAAAGTATAAGAAATTAAAACAATCACAAGCTGGTACTTGTATGGATCTGCAGTTTAAGTTACATAGAGTTGGAAAATACTTTGACACCAACATATAAAATAAGCTTAAAATGTATAGATTTCCCTAGAAAAGCTTACTCTCTAAAAGTTTAAACAAACACTGGCTTTTTATAGAACATTACTCTCTCTTTCTCTTGAATCATAAACACCTAGACTTGATCATAGACCAGTCAATAGTTCAGTCTGGAACTAGAACTGAACTAGAACTGAACTAGAACAGAACTAGAACAGAACTAGAACAGAACTAGAACTGAACTAGAACTGAACTAGAACTGAACTAGAACAGAACTAGAACTGAACTAGAACTGATCTAAAACAGAACTAGAACAGAACTAGAACAGAACTAGAACAGAACTAGAAAACTAGAACAGAACTAGAACAGAACTAGAACAGAACTAGAACAGAACTAGAACAGAACTAGAACAGAACTAGAACAGAACTAGAACAGAACTAGAACAGAACTAGAACAGAACTAGAACAGAACTAGAACAGAACTAGAACAGAACTAGAACAGAACTAGAACAGAACTAGAACAGAACTAGAACAGAACTAGAACAGAACTAGAACAGAACTAGAAAAGAACTAGAACAGAACTAGAACTAGAACAGAAATAGATCAGTACTAGAACAGGACTAGAACAGAACTAGAACAGAACTAGAACAGAACTAGAACTGAACTAGAACAGAACTAGAACAGAACTAGAACAGAACTAGAACAGAACTAGAACAGAACTAGAACAGAACTAGAACAGAACTAGAACAGAACTAGAACAGAACTAGAACAGAACTAGAACTAGAACAGAACAGAACTAGAACAGAACTAGAACAGAACTAGAACAGAACTAGAACAGAACTAGAAACAGAACTAGAACAGAACTAGAACAGAACTAGAACAGAAACTAGAACAGAACTAGAACAGAACTAGAACAGAACTAGAACAGAACTAGAACAGAACTTAGAACAAAATAGAACAGAACTAGAACAGAACTAGAACAGAACTAGACAGAACTAGAAAGAACTAGAAACAGAACTAGAACAGAACTAGAACAGAACTAGAACAGAACTAGAACAGAACAGAACTAGAACAGAACTAGAACCGAACTAGAACAGAACTAGAACAGAAACTAGAACAGAACTAGAACAGAACTAGAACAGAACTAGAACAGAACTAGAACAGAACTAGAACAGAACTAGAACAGAACTAGAACAGAACTAGAACAGAACTAGAACAGAACTAGAACAGAACTAGAACAGAACTAGAACAGAACTAGAACAGAACTAAAACAGAACTAGAACCGAAGTAGAACAGAACTAACAGAACTAGAACAGAACTAGAACAGAACTAGAAAGAACTAGAACAGAACTAGAACAGAACTAGAACAGAACTAGAACAGAACTAGAACAGAACTAGAACAGAACTAGAACAGAACTAGAACAGAACTAGAACAGAACTAGAACAGAACTAGAACAGAACTAGAACAGAACTAGAACAGAACTAGAACAGAACTAGAACAGAACTAGAACAGAACTAGAACAGAACTAGAACAGAACTAGAACAGAACTAGAACAGAACTAGAAAAGAACTAGAACAGAACTAGAACAGAACTAGAACTAGAACAGAAATAGATCAGTACTAGAACAGGACTAGAACAGAACTAGAACAGAACTAGAACAGAACTAGAACAGAACTAGAACAGAACTAGAACAGAACTAGAACAGAACTAGAACAGAACTAGAACAGAACTAGAACAGAACTAGAACAGAACTAGCACAGAACTAGAACAGAACTAGAAAGAACTAGAACAGAACTAGAACAGAACTAGAACAGAACTAACTAGAACAGAACTAGAACAGACTAGAACAGAACTAGAACAGAACTAGAACAGACTAAGAACTAGACCAGAACTAGAACAGAACTAGAATGACAGAACTCGAAACAGACTAGAACAGAACTAGAACAGAACTAGAACAGAACTAGAACAGAAACTGAAACAGAACTAGAACAGAACTAGAACAGAACTAGAACAGAAACAGAACAGAACTAGAACAGAACTAGGAACAGAACTAGAACAGAAACTAGAACAGAACTAGAACAGAACTAGAACAGAACTAGAACAGAACTAGAACAGAACTAGAACAGAACTAGAACAGAACTAGAACAAACAGAACTAGAACAGAACTAGAACAGAACTAGAACAGAACTAGAACAGAACTAGAACAGACAGAACTAGAACAGAACTAGAACATGGAACTAGAACAGAACTAGAAAAACAGAACTAGAACAGAACTAGAACAGAACTTAGAACAGAACTAGAACAGAACTAGAACAGAACTAGAACAGAACTAGAACAGAACTAGAAACAGAACTAGAACAGAACTAGAACAGAACTAGAACAGAACTAGAACAGAACTAGAACAGAACTAGAACAGAACTAGAACAGAACTAGAACAGAACTAGAACAGAACTAGAACAGAACTAGAACAGAACTAGAACAGAACTAGAACAGAACTAGAACAGAACTAGAACAGAACTAGAACAGAACTAGAACAGAACTAGAACAGAACTAGAACAGAACTAGAACAGAACTAGAACAGAACTAGAACAGAACTAGAACAGAACTAGAACAGAACTAGAACAGAACTAGAACAGAACTAGAACTAGACAGAACTAGAACAGAACTAGAACAGAACTAGAACAGAACTAGAACAGAACTAGAACAGAACTAGAACAGAACTAGAACAGAACTAGAACAGAACTAGAACAGAACTAGAACAGAACTAGAACAGAACTAGAACAGAACTAGAACAGAACTAGAACAGAACTAGAACAGAACTAGAAACAGAACTAGAACAGAACTAGAACAGAACTAGAACAGAACTAGAACAGAACTAGAACAGAACTAGAACTAGAACAGAACTAGAACAGAACTAGAACTGACCTAAATTGGAACTAGAACATTTTCCTTAAAGCAATTCCGTTGTTAATAAATATCCTGTTAATAACTCTTTTAAAGATTTCTTTTTGTTTAGTTACGTTTTTGGGTTAAATATTTTGGGGGCACGTTTTTTTTTTAGGAAATGTTTATCCTTAATTTAGGTGTGTTTTCTTCTTGATTTAGTTTATTGGGGTTTTTAGGGGTTCTTTTTACATAGTTTTTGGTTTTTATACAAAATTTACAATTTTTCTTAAAAACAAAGATTCAAAATATTTCACTTACGGTTTGGGCAATATTGTATTATTGAAATTATCTTTCCATTGTAAATCGGTGACTAGACTACCTTGAGGCACATTGGGTCGACAGGTTAATATTAAGGATTTACCCACGGGTTTTCTTTGTACTTCTTGCATGGGGAATATTTCCAATTTGGCATCGTCATCGGCTAATGTGAAATCTGTGAAAGAGAATAGAAGAAAATAGGTGAGAAAAGTTAAAAAAGTTTTGATTACATAGTTTTGCTTAGTCAAGTGACTTGACTAAAGTGTCTAAACTAAGCAAGACTTTGCTTAAGTGTTCTAATTAGAATATTTTTAATAAAAACATAATTTTGAAAATATTTTCCATTTTGCTGAAAAGTGAATCAAATTTAAATTGTTGTTGTTTTTTTAAGAAAATATATTTATTTAACATGTGGTTTAATTAAATTCTCAAGTTAGTGTGAAAAAATATTTCAATTATTTTCAAAATTTCTCAATTTTTCCATATGTGTACGAAAAAAGTAAAAGAAAAAAAATGTTAAAACAAATAATACATTTATAGCTTACATATGATTTAAAGTACTTATTATGGGTTTAATATTTATGCTGCACAGTGGTATAGGAAAAAAAAAGAGGGAAATAATTCGGTAACTTCTAAACGGTTAATCCGATTTTAATGAAATTTGGTATGCACAAAGAGGAGGTGTTGTCGAGTTTAGGTTTTGAATTTGGACCTTATAGGCCAACCAGGGGCCCGGCGGGGGGTCCTCAAATTAGGACACCTCGCCTATGTTAAATTTTTAAAACGATCCTATTTCTTCATTTGAGTTCCGATTTAAAAAAAATTTCGTATATAGAATCTCCTCATCGAGCACTATAAAAAATGTCGTCGTAGCAGTAAATTATCTCTTATAGTTTAGGAGATATTCGCATTTGAATATTAAAATTTTAAAATTTTTACCGTCCTTACTTTAGTTTTTTTGATAATAGCAGGTCCAAATATTTCCGATTTTCGCCATTTTTTTTATTTGCTTAACAACAAGTTTATATACCAAGCAGTGAAAGAATTATGTAAAAATCATGACTGAGTCCAAAGTTATAGGCATTTAAATTTAAAAAATTAAAAAAAGGCGATTTTTTGTCATTTTTTTGGGAAAAAAGTATCTTTTTCTTTTTAAGTTATCTAAAAAGTTTCTAAGAAGATGTATATAGAATTTATACTTTTTGGAAAGCTGACTTTACATAAAATACGATAAATGAAACAAAACCTAAAAATTTTTGATACCGAGGGGACCAGGTCCATCCAAAAAAACCCTATTTTTTATGGAAAATTAAATTTTGAGCAAAAATTCTCAAATCGCATAGTCGATATCAAATTATAGTGACCTGTTTTATATGACCCAATAAGTTCTTAATCATTTTGTAACGGGTTTCGATAACCCCGCCCCTGGTATGGATATAATAGGCAAAAAACCAAAAAATCCCATTTTTGGGATTTTTTAAAACTTTTTTGGGAATTCCGGGATTTCTAATAAGAAAATTCGAAATTTTTATTTAATTTTGGATTTTGAGTAAAAAAATCTACCTAACTGTAAAATTTCATCAAAAAATATTCATAAATAAAATTTTTATTGCAATTTGAAAAATTTGTATCTTCGCAAAAACTGAATAAAAAACATTTTTTAATTTTTTTTAAAAAAAGTATTCCGCGAATTTTTTAATTTTCAAAAATTATATACAGTTTTGAAAAATAGACAAAATTACCTTTCCATTGATATATAACATGCCTACCTAATGTTTTTTAAGTGACAAATTAATTAAGGAAAACTCAACATCTTTTAGAAAATTTACCTAGCACTATTATTTTCATCCATATATGTAACAAATTTAAGAGTTAACCTTATGGATGAAAATAATAGTGCTAGGCAAATTTTCTAAAAGATGTTGAGTTTTCCCTAATTAATTTGTCACTTAAAAAACATTAGGTAGGCATGTTATATATCAATGGAAAGGTAATTTTGTCTATTTTTCAAAACTGTATATAATTTTTGAAAATTAAAAAATTCGCGGAATACTTTTTTTAAAAAAATTAAAAAATGTTTTTTATTCAGTTTTTGCGAAGATACAAATTTTTCAAATTGCAATAAAAATTTTATTTATGAATATTTTTTGATGAAATTTTACAGTTAGGTAGATTTTTTTACTCAAAATCCAAAATTAAATAAAAATTTCGAATTTTCTTATTAGAAATCCCGGAATTCCCAAAAAAGTTTTAAAAAATCCCAAAAATGGGATTTTTTGGTTTTTTGCCTATTATATCCATACCAGGGGCGGGGTTATCGAAACCCGTTACAAAATGATTAAGAACTTATTGGGTCATATAAAACAGGTCACTATAATTTGATATCGACTATGCGATTTGAGAATTTTTGCTCAAAATTTAATTTTCCATAAAAAATAGGGTTTTTTTGGATGGACCTGGTCCCCTCGGTATCAAAAATTTTTAGGTTTTGTTTCATTTATCGTATTTTATGTAAAGTCAGCTTTCCAAAAAGTATAAATTCTATATACATCTTCTTAGAAACTTTTTAGATAACTTAAAAAGAAAAAGATACTTTTTTCCCAAAAAAATGACAAAAAATCGCCTTTTTTTTAATTTTTTAAATTTAAATGCCTATAACTTTGGACTCAGTCATGATTTTTACATAATTCTTTCACTGCTTGGTATATAAACTTGTTGTTAAGCAAATAAAAAAAATGGCGAAAATCGGAAATATTTGGACCTGCTATTATCAAAAAAACTAAAGTAAGGACGGTAAAAATTTTAAAATTTTAATATTCAAATGCGAATATCTCCTAAACTATAAGAGATAATTTACTGCTACGACGACATTTTTTATAGTGCTCGATGAGGAGATTCTATATACGAAATTTTTTTTAAATCGGAACTCAAATGAAGAAATAGGATCGTTTTAAAAATTTAACATAGCCGAGGTGTCCTAATTTGATGACCCCCCGCCGGGCCCCTGGTTGGCCTATAAGGTCCAAATTCAAAACCTAAACTCGACAACACCTCCTCTTTGTGCACACCAAATTTCATTAAAATCGGATTAACCGTTTAGAAGTTACCGAATTATTTCCCTCTTTTTTTTTTCCTATACCACTGTGTGCTGTTATTGTTGTTGTTATAATATATCATAGCAAATGTTGTGTTAACTGACAGTTCTGACAGCTGCCTTTATACTGTCAAATATTTTAAAGCTAAACTTTCAACACAACACCAGAAATTTAAACACAATGAAAATTTTTCAAAAAAAAAAAAAAAAAAAACAAGCAAAAACAAAGAACTAATAAACAATTTTACTAAATGACTGACTGACATATAAAGTATTTTTATGCACATATTACTACTCTTAGTTCCAGCACAAATTTCGTTTTCATCTTTTCTTGTATATAATTTTTGAAAATTTTGTTTATTTTAATCATAATGAAGATGCTGTTCGTGTGCCTTTTCTATTCTTATAAAATTCTGTTTGTTTGATATGTTATGTGAATAATTTGAAATTTGAATAATTTTTTTTTTTTTTGAAAATTATGAAGTGTTATTTGTTTTCTTAAACTTCAGAGTTAATTAAAAATAAAACTGATTGTAATTGTTTTTTATGTATAAATGTCAGAGATCTGTCATGTTTGCTTTAGATTTAGAAAAGAAATTTTGAGAAAATTTTTGGGATATGTGAAAAACATTTGTGGGAAAATTGTTTTTTTTTTAAGGAAAAATTCTAGATCTGTCATAGTTCTGTTCTAGTTTTTGTTGTAGTTCTGTTCTAGTTTTGTACTAGTTCTGTTCTAGTTCTGTTCTAGTTCTGTTCTAGTTCTGTTCTAGTTCTGTTCTAGTTCTGTTCTTGTTCTGTTCTAGTTCTAGTTCTGTTCTAGTTCTGTTCTAGTTCTGTTCTAATTCTGTTCTAGTTTTGTTCTAGTTCTAGTTCTGTTCTAGTTCTGTTCTAGTTCTGTTCTAGTTCTGTTCTAGTTCTGTTCTAGTTCTGTTCTAGTTCTGTTCTGTTCTAGTTCTGTTCTAGTTCTGTTCTAGTTCTGTTCTAGTTCTGTTCTAGTTCTGTTCTAGTTCTCTTCTAGTTCTCTTCTAGTTCTGTTCTAGTTTAGTTCTAGTTGTGTTCTGTTCTAGTTCTGTTCTGTTGTAGTTCTGTTCTAGTTCTGTTCTAGTTCTGTTCTAGTTCTGTTCTAGTTCTGTTCTAGTTCTGTTCTAGTTTTGTTCTAGTAATGTTGTAGTTCTGTTTTAGGTCTGTTGTAGTTCTGTTGTAGTTCTGTTGTAGTACTGTTGTAGTTCTGTTGTAGTTCTGTTCTAGTTCTGTTCTAGTTTTGTTCTTGTAATGTTGTAGTTCTGTTGTAGTACTGTTGTAGTTCTGTTGTAGTTCTGTTCTAGTTCTGTTCTAGTTTTGTTCTTGTAATGTTGTAGTTCTGTTGTAGTACTGTTGTAGTTCTGTTGTAGTTCTGTTCTAGTTTTGTTCTTGTAATGTTGTAGTTCTGCTTTAGCTCTGTTGTAGTTATCTTGTAGTTCTGTTTTAGCTCTGTTGTAGTTCTGTTGTAGTTCTGTTGTAGTTCTGTTGTAGTTCTGTTGTAGTTCTGTTGTAGTTCTGTTCTAGTTGTTGTAGTCTGTTAGTTCTGTTCTAGTTCTGTTCTAGTTCTGTTCTAGTTCTGTTGTCTAGTTCTGTTCTAGTTCTGTTCTAGTTCTGTTCTAGTTCTGTTCTAGTTCTGTTCTAGTCTAGTTCTGTTCTAGTTCTGTTCTAGTTCTAGTTCTGTTCTAGTTCTGTTCTAGTTCTGTTCTAGTTCTGTTCTAGTTCTGTTCTAGTTCTGTTCTAGTTCTGTTCTAGTTCTGTTCTAGTTCTGTTCTAGTTCTAGTTCTGTTCTAGTTCTGTTCTAGTTTTGTTCTAGTAATGTTTTAGGTCTGTTGTAGTTCTGTCGTAGTTCTGTTGTAGTACTGTTGTAGTTCTGTTGTAGTTCTGTTCTAGTTCTGTTCTAGTTTTGTTCTGTAATGTTGTAGTTCTGTTGTAGTACTGTTGTAGTTCTGTTGTAGTTCTGTTCTAGTTCTGTTCTAGTTTTGTTCTTGTAATGTTGTAGTTATCTTGTAGTTCTGTTTTAGCTCTGTTGTAGTTCTGTTGTAGTTCTGTTGTAGTTCTGT